AGACAGAGAGGAAGATCTTCTATCTGATGATTCACTCTCCAAGTGGCCACATTGGCTGATGCTGCGCCAGTCTGAAGCCAGGATCCAGGAACTTCTTCTGGGTCTCCCACACGAGTGCAGGGTCCCAAGGTTTTGGGCTGTCCCAACTACTTTCCTAGGCCACAAATAGGGCCTAGGATGGGAAGTGCAACAGTCGAGGTACAAACAGGGCTTTACAGTGTCTTCTTTTAAATCAGTGTCACTGCTGATTAATAGAAAGTCAGGGCTTTCCATATTGCCACCTTAAGTCCCTGCTTGATTCTTTTGTTTTTTGTTTGTTTTCTACAGACCAGACATCAGATAAGTGTATGAAACTTCAGGAAACTGTCCCTTTTTCTTAAACCAGGAGCATTGGTGCCACCTACTGGGCACTTGCTGTTGGCTGCAGCCTCTGTGGCTGCTCCTGCTGTTGTCTTTGGGTGAGAGTGTCTGTTTTCTAGTACCAGGATAAAACATGTAGGAGTGGAAAGCCTGCCGAGTGTGCACAGTGTTTTCTGTTTACAGGCAAGGGAACAGGCTGTGACATTATGATTGGGTAACTAGTAAGGGACTGAAGCAAATTAGGAGCAAGGCCTTCCCAACCCCAAGTTCACTAGATTCACTAAAGTCAGGGGAAGCTTTTAGGTGGTGGCTGCACAAGACATGCAGTAACATGAACAGCAAAATCCTTCCTCCCTCCTCAATTCTCTCAGTCCTTCCCTTGAAGGACTTGTTAAGTCTCAGCGGTTCTTTGATCCTTGGTCATTTTAATTTTCTTAAAGATTTGTTTGTTTCTTTGAAAGGCAGAGTTACAGGAAAGACACTAAAGAGAGAGATTGGTCTTCCATCTGCTAGCTCACCCCCTCAAATGGCTGCAACAGCCAGGGCTGTAACAGCCAGGGCTGCAACAGCCAGGGCTGGGCCAGGCTGAATCAGAAACTAGGAACTTCCTCCAGGTCTCCCTTGTGAGTGCAGGGGCACAGGTACTTGGACCATCTTCCACTGGAGACTCAAACTGGTGCTCATATGGGATATCCGTGTTATAGGTGGCACCTTAACACCATGTGCCACAATGCTAGCCCATCATTTCAATATTTACCAGTATTAACTGGGCAGCAATCATTAGAACTTAACATTTTATTTTGTTGTATTATTTTTAACCTATCAAAGTATCTTCCACTTACTGATGATCAGCACTGATTTTCCATCTGTTTTCTTTATTTTTTGCATAATTTTTATTTATTTATTTTTTTTACTTTAAAGTAGAGAGAGAAGCTGATGCAAAAAGATCTTTCACCCACTAGTTCATTCCCAAATTTTCTATAACAAAGCCAGGATCTACAAAGCCCTGTGGGTATCTCACTTGGTAACAGGGCCCCAATCACCTGAGCCATCACCTCTGCCTTCCAAGGTGTGCATCAGCAGGAAGCTGGAATTGGAAACAGAGCCAGAACTTGAATCCAGGCATACTGGCAGAGAATACAAGCTTCCCAGGCAGCATCTTTAACTGCTATGACAAATGCCCACCCTTAAAATATAACTTCATATTACTATAATATATAAGGAAAATAGGAGTGGGCATTTGGCTAAGTGCTCAAAATACTACTTGGGTCACCTGTACCCCATATCGGAGTACCTGGGTTCGTCATGGCTGTGCTTACATTTCCAGCTTTATGCTGGCACATACCCTGGGAGATACACGAGTCAAATACTTGGATCACTGCCACCAACAGGGGAGACACTGATTGGTTTCCTGGCTCCTGCCTTCAGCCTGGCAGCTCTGGTTGTTGGGGACATTTGAAGTAGCAGATGGAAGATATCGCTTTCTCTTTGCTTTTCAAATTCAAAAAAACTGTCCTGGGTCTAATACAGTGGCACAATTGCTAAATTGTCACCTTATAAAGCACCAGCAGCCCAACTAGGCGCTGGTTCATGTCCCAGCTGCTCTGCTTCCCATCCAGCTCCCTGCTTGTGGCCTGGGAAAGCAGTAGAGGATGGCCCAAAGCCTTGGGACCCTGCACCTACATGGGAGACTCAGAAGAGGCTCCTGGTTCCTGGATCCTGGCTTAGGATTAGCTCAGCTGCAGCTATTGTATCCATTTGGGGAGTAAGTAAGACAATGGAAGATCTTTCTGTCTCTCTGTAAATTTGATCTGCGTTTTCAATAAACATAAATAAATCTTTTTTTTTTTAAAGATTTATTTTTATTATTTTTTTTTTCATTGGAAAGGCAGATATACAGAGAGGAGAGACAGAGAGGAATATCTTCCGTCCGATGATTCACTCCCCAAGTGAGTGCAACGGGCCGATACTATGCCGATCCAAAGCCAGGAGCCTCTTCCGGGTCTCCCATGCGGGTGCAGGTTCCCAAAGCCTTGGGCCGTCCTCGACTGCTTTCCCAGGCCACAGGCAGGGAGCTGGAAGGGAAGCGGAGCTGCCGGGATTAGAACCGGCGCCCATATGGGATCCCGGGCGTGCAAGGCGAGGACCTTTAACCACTTGCGCCACCGCGCCGGGGCCAAATAAACAGGGGCCCAGAACAGTGGCCTAGTGGCTAAAGTCCTCACCTTGAATGCTCCGGGATCCCATATGGGCACCAATCTAATCCTGGCAGCTCCACTTCCCATCCAGCTCCCTGCTTGTGGCCTGGGAAAGCAGTTGAGGACAGTCCAAGGCCTTGGGAACCTACACCTGTGTGAGAGACCCAGAGGAGTCTCTGGGATTCTGCCTTCATATTGACTTGACCCCAGCCGTTGCTGCCACTTAGGGAGTAAATCAGCAGATGGAAGATTTTTCTGTCTCTCCTCCTCTCTATCTGACTTCCCACAAAAAAATAAATAAATAAATCATTAAAAAAAGAAATGTGAGAGCATTCAGAGTTACAGAAACAAAGAGGGAGAGACAAAAGAGAAAGACAGATCTTTCATCTGTTGGATCCCTCCCCAAATGATCACGATAGCCAGACCTGTGCTAGACCAAAGCTGGGAGCCAGGAGCTTGCTCCAGGTCTCCCACGTAGTTACAGGCACTCAAGGCCTTGGACCATCTTCTGCTGCTTTCCTAGGACATAAGCAGGGTTCTGGGTTGGCAATAGAACCACCAAGGCTTGAATCAACACCCATACGGGATGCTGGCGCCACAGATAGAGGATTAGACTACTACGCCACTGTTAACCTTTTATCAAGTGGGGAGATTTCTTGTATTCCTAGTCTGAAGGTTTTTATTATGAAAACATGTCAGATTTTGTCAAATGCTTGTTTTTTGTCTAATGATGATGATGTGTAAGTGTTTAAGCATAATTCTATTGATCTGTTACATGATAGTTTTACTCAAGAACTTTGTTTTTCTGAAATAAATCCCACTTGGTTGTGCAGAACCTTTTTTTTTTTTTAATAGTTTCTGAGTTGAGTTTGCTGGTTTCTGTTTAAGGATTTTTGTTTCTGTGTGCACAGAGGATGTTAGTCTGTGGTTTCATTTTGTTTCATTCGCCATGTGACTGCTCTGTTTGATTTTGCTATCAGACTGATATTGCCTGTATAGAGTGAATTGTGAAGTGTTTCCTTTTGCTTTTTGGAGGGGTTTGTGAAGAATTGATAATTATTTTTAATTGTTTGGTGAGACTTACCAGTGAAGTCATCTGGGCCTGAATTTGTGTGTGCATGTGTGTGTGTGTGGCAGAGTATCCACTGCACGGTTTCTTACTTCTGGAGCATGTTAGTCAGTGGCTTGTGGATGTGCATTTCTGTAAGAGAGGGGATCTGAAAAGAGTGGGCCCAACAGAAGTTGGAAAATTTGGGAGAGGTTCTTGTTGACCTTACCTGGAACCCTACCTTTTTTTTTTTTTCCCGCTTTATTGTCCAGTGTATTATAGAGGATGAGATCTTCATTTTTCCTCCTAAGTGGATGCTATGGAGGTTGGGACCAAAAACCTGAGCCTGTCTCTTGAGTGGAAAAGATGCCTATAGGCATCGCTCAACAAAGGAAGAAGTTAGCACTCAAATGGAGACAAGAAAGAATGGGGTCTTGGGCCCTCCTGGGCGCCTTCAGATTTGGGTGTGTGTGTGTGTGTATGTGAGTGTGTGTGTACCCATTCCACCTCACCTTAAATATTGCCAATAAGTCAAGGTACTTTAATTGCCGAGGGTCCCAAATGATAAATGGCAGACTCTGTGATGAACTATTACATAGCCATTTAAAGAATGCCTTTGGTTGACAAAATATCTAGTTAAGTGCAATGTGCAAAATGGTGTTAAGAGAAAAAATGGAAGGGAACCTATACACGTGTGTAAACTGTGTGTGCCCTGGCAGAGTTCAGGTTTTGTGGAGCGTTTTCTTGTTACCTGGGTCTTTCCCCCTGATGTTATGCTGCCTTACACAGCAGAACAACACTTGCCGAAGTCAGGAACTTGTGTCAAGTGCAGTAGTGAAGTTGTGAGACCACTATGTCCTCCAGAAAACAGTTGCCCCTCAGATCTGTCCCATATCTGCCAGAAATTTTGAGCGCTCCCCAAAAGTCCTTCTGTCTTGTCTACCTGTGGCAGCAGGTTTCACCGACACTCAAGCTTCGGTGCTCCCTGCTGACAGCTTCAGTGGCCAGAGACCCTGCTCTGTCTCTCCCCGGTGAGGACCTGTCACGGCACTCTGGCCTCCCTGTGGACCTCCAACACGATCGTGGTTGCTGCCCCCACCCTGAGTCAGGGTGCTTGGGGCATGAAGCAGATGCCAGGAACCTCTGGATTTCCCAGGCATTCACACTAGCAGCCTCTTCTTTCCCACTGAAGGCTAATGGAGTTGGCAAACAGGATCAGCTTAGCTTGGTTCTTCAGAAATAGCTACAAACTCTTTGCTTCCAGCCACAGTGACTGTGTTGCCTCCTTCCCAGCATGTTGAAGCCTCCCGGCTCGGGGTTTCTGAAATGCTAGGTTGGAGCCAAGCCTGGGTGCAAGGCCTTAAACACTAAGCCTTCTCCTGTCTCTCCCACAGAGAACACTTTCTGCAGTGGGGACCACGTGTCTTGGCACAGCCCCTTGGATAACAGCGAATCAAGAATTCAGCACATGCTACTCACAGAGGACCCGCAGATGCAGCCCGTGCAGACACCCTTTGGGGTGGTCACCTTCCTCCAGGTGAGCCTTGAGGTGTCCTCTGCTTGAGCCGCCCTTGTGTGAAAAGTCCAGGCCTGACAGGAACAGGCTTCCTTTGCACTCCTGGCATCTTTTGTTCCCTCTGGTGGTTTGTCAACAGATGGTCTGATTTTACCAGCTGAGATGGAGGAGGGAGGGAAGGGGTGCTGGCATGGGAGGATGACTGTAGTGGACAGGAGGTCACAGGGAAAGTATTTTGTGAACTTATAAAGACCCAGTTGACCCTAGACACAGGACTTCTGACAGAAAATCAGCTCCATTTTCCCAGGAATGTGAATCCACCCCCACTGCAACTAGGGCTTGCTTTGGGTCCGGAGGATGTCCCTATGAAGGGGCGGTCTGGTTGTTCCCTGGAGCTTGACACTGAGTTAGGCCCTAATGAGAGAGGAGCATCTCTGCAAGCCACCAGAGCATTTGGTCTGTGGTTCCGAGACTGAAGGATCTCAGACTCCATTTACAGTCCCTGTGATGCCAGACTGCTAGGAGCAGCTCTCATCACCTTCCCAAATTCCAGAGCCACGTAGCCTAAAGACTTATCCTGTAATGGCCAACGCCTGATTTTCTCCTCTACAGCTTGGAATTAGACCCTGTGTCTCCCAGACATGGACGGGGGAATGGGGGAGCAGGTCTGGGTGCTACTGTGGGCCCAGCCATCTCCTGGCCACACAGGTGGGCCCTGCTAAGTTGCTTGTGAGCTAATTTTAGACAGAGCAGGCCTGGAGCACAGATCCTACCTGTGGTCTCTGCACTTGGGGTCCTCCCCCCAAGAGAGCTGAGTGGCTGAACTGTCGGGGGCAGGGCGGGAGGAGAGGTGGTGACCATTAACACACAGTGACGTTCCTGGTCTAGATTGTTGGTGTCTGCACTGAAGAGCTGCACTCAGCCCAACAGTGGAACGGGCAGGGGATCCTGGAGCTGCTGCGGACTGTGCCTGTGTGAGTACGTGCCCCTGGGTGAGGCGGGGGCCTGGGGCTGGGGATGCCTGTGTTACCCCACATGTGGGGTGCCCCCTTGCATTGCTGTTTCAAGCACTGGTTTTCCTATCAGGGTTTCCTGACAGCTCACTTCTTGTCAGTCTGTAACCATGAATTATTCCCCTGTGTTCGGGACTGGGGGCAACAAACAGGACAGGCTGTCAACCCAGTCCATAAGCCCCAGACCCTTAGTTACCATCGTAACCCCTTTGCTTGTCCACAGCGCTGGCGGCCCCTGGCTGATAACTGACATGCGGAGGGGAGAGACCATATTTGAGATCGATCCACACCTGCAAGTATGTCTTGAGGGAGGGAAACCTTTCTAGCACACGGTACTTAGGCTTCTTCGAAATAGCACTGACTTTAACCCTGGGAAAATGGAGGAGCTTGATATGTAACTGAGTTAGAAATATGGCATGATTTAGAGCTTGGCCCCTGAATTCTGCAAGTATATGAAAGGAAACAGAGATTTCAGCCTGGGCCCCGCGGCGTGGCCTAACAGCTAAAGTCCTCGCCTTGAACGCCCCAGGATCCCATATGGGCACCGGTTCTAATCCCGGCAGCTCCACTTCCCATCCAACTCCCTGCTTCTGGCCTGGGAAGGCAGTTGAGGATGGCCCAAAGCCTTGGGACTCTGCACCCATGTAGGAGACCTGGAAGAAGTTCCTGGTTCCCAGCTTCGGATCAGCACGGCACCGGCCGTTGCACTCACTCGGGGAGTGAATCAATGGGTGGAAGATCTTTCCCTCTGTCTCTCCTCTTCTCTGGATATCTGACTTTCCAATAAAAATTTAAAAAATAAAAAATAAAAGATTTCAGCTCGGGCAAGTCTATCTCAGACATGTATTTTTGCATTTTAAAAAGAGTGAATTTCATTGTATGCAAATTATGCATCAACTTTTAAAACTTAGATTACCAGCAATGAAAGAAAATTAATCAGTACGGTTGTCTTGCCCAAGGTTCATTTCTTTACTTCCCCCCTTCTAAAAGAACACAGACAGGGTGGGCGTTATGGCACAAAAGGTTAAGTTGTCACTAGTAATGCTTGCATTCTATGTCAGATCACTAGTTTGAGACTGGCTGCTCCAATTCCAGTCCAGCTCCCTGCTAAAGCGCCTGGAAAGCAGCAGAAGGTGGCCCAAGTACTTGGGCTCACTCAACCTGTGTGGGAGACCTAGCTGCAATTCCTGGTTCTGACCTGAACCATCCCTAGTTGTTGCGGCCATTGGAAATTGAATCAGTGGAGAGAAGATTTTCTCTCTCTCTCTCTCCCCTTCTCTCACTCCGTCTCCCTCTCTCACTCCTCCAATCCTTTGTCCCTCTCTCTGCATGTCATTCTGCCTTTGAATCTCTCTCTCTCTCTTTCTCTTTCTCTTTCTCTCTCTCTCTCTCACATACACACACACACATATGCACACAGAGTCTTTCAGGGAGCCACCCCATACTTACCACCGCCCTTTCCAGACAGAGGTACAAGTGTCATTGCTACCTGGCCAGCTGCAGTGCCCCCTGGGAGACATGTCTCCATCCTGAGAAGCCAGATACTAAGCTCCTGCGCTTCCTTCCCTGGCTAGGTCAGCGTCCTGATGTGTAGAGGGGCCTTTAGCCACTCAGACTGCAGCTGCCCCTCTCAGTGGCCCTCCTGAGCAGCCTCACTGTCATCTCTGGTGTTCTAGAGGAAGCACTCCTCGTCATGTGGGTGCATTCTGTTTATTTTTTTAAAGATTTATTTATTTTTATTGCAAAGTCAGATATACAGAGAGGAGGAGAGACAGACAGGAAGATCTTCTGTCCGATGATTCACTCCTCAGGATGCCACAACAGCCGGTGCTGCGCTGATCAGAAGCCAGGAACCAGGAACTTCTTTCAGGTCTTCCATGCAGGTGCAGGGTCCCAAGGCTTTGGGTCGTCCTCAACTGCTTTCCCAGGCCACAAGCAGGGAGCTAGATGGGAAGCAGGGCTACCAGAATTAGAACTGGCGCCTACAGGGATCCCAGCGCGTTCAAGGCAAGGACCATAGCTGCTAGGCCACCACTCTGGGCCCATGTTGGGTGCATTTTGAAAAACCCAAGAGCATGACAGTTGTTGCCATGATCTGCTCGGGGAGCAAGATCAGTAGGCAGCTCGTTCTGTGCCTGCTGTGCTTCTGGTTCCTGCTCCACCGATTGCATGTCCCTGCTGCCTCCTTTCATGCTCCATGAAACTCTGCACTGCCATGGGTGCTGCCTGTCCTGAGCAGGGGGAGAAGTGGCAGATGGGTACATAGCCTTCCGTCACTGGTTTCTCTGCTGCAGATCTGTGAATTCTTGAGGATATATCATCCTCATTTACAGAGGGTGCTCCTCTGTTTTCCTATGCTAAATTTTAATGCTAAAATTTCCAGCTGCTGCCATGTTCTTCTGTCATCTCTGCTTTAGGTTGATTTCCGTGTAGCTTTGCTTGGGCAGGAACCTGGAATCACGAAGGCTGTTTCCTAGAGCTCTTCTGCAGCCACACTGGGATCCAGTGTGGGGCACTGTGGGCTGTTGTTTGGGCCCTGTCATAAGTATCCAGTTCTAGGATCCTGGTCCTTCACAATAGTAGGGCAAGCAACTTGTGCTTTGTCTGCCTGCTGAGAATGGTTCTCTGTGGTCTGCAGTCTGCCCTGCAACCAGCCATTAGAACCCAGAGCACCCGATGGTCTGTCTGTACAGGCAAGGAGCCATGGGAGAGTGGTGCATCTGGCTTTGCTGGTGAGCTCTGCTGTATTCACTTAAGCTGATCTCAGGCCTCTTGCTGTCAGTTCCTCTTAGAACTGTCTCCTGTTCCTTTGAGTTAAGCTTTACCACTAACAAGCTGTGTGCCTAAACTAGTCCCCTAAATGCTTTGTGTCTTAACTCTCTTTTTACTTATAGAGTAGATGGGCTGGACTAATTTAGCTAAGAGGTATCTATTCTCAGCTCTTAGCTGGGTGAAGGGTTTCAGGGCAGCCAGTATCCAGGCTCTCCCCTGAGCAGGCAGGGTTCCCGTGCTTAGCGGCCACTGAGCCAAGGAGCCATGTCGCCACATCCCTGCCACCCGCCTGCTTCCTGCTCAGGGCCCCAGCCTGGTTATTGCAAGCTGATGACAACACTGGAAGGGAGGAGGGGAAGAGGTGTTCCATGTAAGAGAAACTTGTGCTGAGTCCCAGCAAGTGAGAGCAGTCTACCCCAGATAGCTTCCTGGTTGGTGCCCCTAGCACCACGGGGTGTGGGGTTCGGGATGGAATGCAGATAGAGTGGGGTGGGAGGAGCACAGCCTTGTTGACATGCTCAGTCATAGGATCTTTATTTGGCCCCAGATGGCTGCTGATGGATAGGGTTGCTAGAGCCTTCTAGATGACCTTTTATCTAAAACACAGCATCTCACAACTGTGTTTTACCAGAAAATCCAGGCATGTTTTGAGTACAACTCTTCCTTGAGGCCATTTGGAGAGTGTTTGGAGTCAACAGTGCCAAGACTTGCACAAAGACAGAGCCTCCTGGCGGGGCGGGGGTGGAGGCGCTGATTACGGATGTCACTGTTCCCCCAGGTCCCTCTTCCATCCAAGAAATGGAAACCAAACTTCAATCCGTTTTTTTTGGCCAAACAGGTCAGCCTGGGCAACCAGAGGAGGGCAAGTGCACCCTCTAGCCACTAGAAGAAGAACTGCAGGTGTGACTTCCCTCTGACTCCAGTGACAGGGAAGAAGGGTTCTTTTAGGAGGGTCAGGGAGGAGAGAAAGAATGAAAACTTGGCTTAGGGCCCAGCGCAATAGCATAGTGGTTAAGGTCCTCGCCTTGCACGCCTGGGATCCCATATGGGCACCAGTTCTAATCCCGGCAGCCCCGCTTCCCATCCAGCTTCCTGCTTGTGGTCTGGCATAGCAGTCGAGGACAGCCCAAAGCTTTGGGACCCTGCACCCACATGGGCGACCCAAAAGGGCTCCTGGCTTCTGGCTTCGGATTGGCTCAGCTCCAGCCTTTGCAGCCGCTTGGGGAGTGAACCATCAGATGGAAGATATTCCTTTCTGTCTCTCCTCTCTGTATATCCACCTTTCCAATAAACAAATAAATAAATCTTTAAAAAAAAAACTTGGCTTAGGGAAGTAGATCCTGTCTGCCTCACTGCTTTACAGACGAGCGTGGGGTGGACAAGGCCGGGGTTCTGAAAGAAAGGAGAAAGCACAGACCTTGAAGGCTGCTGGTAGAGAAGCAGCTCCCCTTGGCCTTTTTCTTCCTCCTCGTTCCCCTGCAGGTGTGCAGGACCTGCTCTACAGCTGCTGCGCCATGCTTGGCACCTCCAAGGGCTCAACATGTACAATGGGAGTGGGGAGGGCAGTGGTGACTTGGGCCTCGGTTCTCTGAAGGAACTCTGGCTCTCTGGTTCTTTTCAAGCAGGAGAGAGTTGACAAAGGCATCGAGACAGATGGCTCCAACCTGAGTGGAGTCAGTGCCAAGTGCGCCTGGGATGACCTGAGCCGGCCCCCCGAGGACGACGAAGACAGCCGGAGCATCTGCATCGGCACACAGCCCCGGCGGCTGTCTGGCAAAGGTGGGGGCTGCAACCCAGCCCTGCTTCCTCCCTCTCTCTTGCCTGGTATTCAAGCTGTCTAGGATGGGTTTTGGACAAAAACAGCCCATTTAGTAGATTCTTTACTGGCCTGATTTAAGCAGCAAGTGAAATCTTCCAGCAGGCAGAATTAAGGGAGCTCTGTTGGCCCATCTCTAGCTTTTTCCTCTGTGTGTTTCAATGCACCACCAGTGGGGCCCATTGTGTTTTAGCTTTGAGTCTTGCGATCTGGGGTCATGGAGGTGAGTGGAAGCCATAGAACCGTTACAGGAAAAGCCCATAGTCTACGCAAGTGCAAGAAAATAAGCACCGGTCACCCATGGAATTAACACATGGCCCAACTCTCACCTGAAGCCTGTGCCAGACCCCAGGATTGTTCGTCTTGGGCCCTCTCAGGAATTTGATGAGACAGACCTGAGCGTGAAACCTGCTTGCAAAGGACCCCTCTTCAGCTTTCCTGTAGTTACAGAATGAGAAGCTGTGGGTAGTTCACACAAGATCTTGAGGAAAGAAAATGTCATCTCTCCTGTTGGAAGTTCCCCGTGCTGCTCTTGGCTACAGCAACAGATGTGACTTTAGCAGAGGGCATCCTGAGCTAACTCCAAAGTAAAGCAGCCATCCCTATGTACATACATATGTTGCTGGCTTCTTGGTCTACTTCCTTTCTCTGTTTTTTTTTCCCTTTTCTGACTTTTAAGAATAAGATTCTTTCAGCCTTGGTTAACACCTGAATATGTGCTAACACTTTTAAAAGGTTTTCTGTTTCTGTAAAGAACAACTTAAACCCTACTGCAAATATTTGACCATATTTAACCCTTCTTTCTTTCCTTCCTGTTTGTTTTAATGGTGTGCCACATCTGTTGGAGGTTGAGAAAGATAGTACACAGTTACCAGAATCATTTGGTTGCTTTTGACAAAAGAGAAAACTTTAGGAAGGTTTCATAGTGTTATCCAAAACTTTAATCACAACTGACTAGTTGTGAAAAATTATGAAAGCAACTCATGCCACTGTGACCGTTTAAATAAAAAAGTTAGTAACCATTCCCTCCTCGGCCTTGGGCAACTAATGTTAATGTGCTTTGTTGTACATGTTTACAGTTCCATAGAGGCAAGTCTTAGATCAAAATCTGGATAAAGGGGACAAGATTAGTAAACTTTGGCCCAAAGACCACAAAGTACCTTGCAAGGAAATAATCTCACCAAGGCACTGCTTTCACAGCCTGTACCCCTTGCTAGCTCATGAGGGGCCGAGCTCCCTGGCATAGGGCCAGGAGGTGAGATGAACCAAGCCCAAAAGGGGAGAGAGCAGCAGTGCCAAACCTTATGTGAGCCCCATAACCCAACCAGGTATGTGATGACAGCTACCTGTTCTCAGCAGGCACCTACTAGCCCTCATTTCAGTGAGCAATGGCAGCTGCTTTGTCAGTCAGTCCTTGTCTAGAGCCATGTTACAGAGAGTTATCAGGCCTGGAACACAGGGAGACTTCCGAGGCTGGGTGTACATCTTCCACAAGGATGGCCTCAGCCTCTAAGCCCCTTAAGAGCACGTTGCCTTACCTGCCCTTTATGGTGTGCGCTCACCCCTCTCTCCTATCCAGCGCCCAGCATGGGCTCAGAACTGTCCTCATAGCAGCTTTCCGGGCATGTCCACCAGCCTGGGTCTCAGGGCAGGGTGGGAACGCTGGAGGCCGAGAGGACCATTGGGCAGCACACTGCTGTTGTTGCAGACACTGAGCAGATCCGAGAGACCCTGAGGAGAGGACTTGAGATCAACAGCAAACCCGTCCTTCCACCCATCAACCCTCAGCGGCAGAATGGCCTCACCCACGACCGGGCCCCGTAAGTTCTCCAGTATCCCAGGGCTGGAATGAGAGGACAGTCTTGTCCTAGGGGGTTGTCCATGTAGGTTGCATGAGGGAGAGCAATGTCCATGGCCCTTATGGGATGGGCCCAGGATCCTGGACTTAAGGGAGGCCATAGTCTGGGGCACATGGACCTACGGGTTGCGGGAAAGAACTTCTGAGGGGCACAGCGGAGCAGGAATATAAACAGCGGTAAATATTTACATAGGCTGCATGAACAGGCGGGAGGCCAGGTTGGGGCACAACCTGACTTGGGGCCTCCTGGCCTTGTGGGAGCCCATTGTGCTGAGCACGATTCCCTCCTTATCTCAGCCTCGGCCAGAGTTGCCCTTCCTTCCTTCCTGGAGCCTGGTCTCCGGCCGATAGCTGCAAGCCCGGGGGCCTCCCTGTCTGGCCAGCCCCACATTGGACGCCTGCTGCTGGGGCCCTTCTTCCTGCCTGCCTTCCCTGGGGCCAGAGAAGGGAAGGGAAGTCCTCTGCAGGCTTCTGCTGCCTGTCCAAGAGCCCCCGACCTCTGAGCACAGACTGCGGCTAGCCCAGAGGTCAGATCCACTTCCTTCCAACCTCTCTTCCTCTGACAGGGGACATGTGGTGGGCAGTGCCGAAGCTGAGCAACCCCTCCTCTGCCCTGAGTCCCTAGGCAACTCTAGGGACTAAGTGCTGGCAGTTGGATGCCTGGGAGCTGGCAACCCAGGCCGGAGCCTTGCCTGCCAGGGAGGAAATGGTTAGGCCTTGGGCTCAGAGACAGATCAACTGATCCTGCAAAACCCTCTTGTGAGAAGCTTTCATTGTGCACTTGCTGTGTGTGGCCAGCCCCAGCACCGGGAGGCCATATGAGTTGCAGAGTATTCATCTGGGAGAGCATGAGTGAAACAATGAGCCTGTGATGATATGAAGCCAACTGTGGATGCCATTTGCTGGAAGTGGCTGTTGCTTTGGATTCCCTCTCCAGTTACCAATCTGTGATGCCCCAGAGTAGTGGAGGTACAATACGCTGTAGAAAGGTTAACAGGAAGTGATGGAGTAGGAGGGCATCTTGGAGGTAGGAGAGTGTTAGGTGGACCTCAAAGGGGCCCTAGAATTTTTTTTTTTTAAATAAGCAGGGAGAGAAGCTGGGTTGGTTTGGTGTGCATCATGGGAGCAGATTATAGAGGAGGGAGTCTCTCTGGGAATGGAGCTGCACAGGCTGGCTCCCCAGGTGAGCCCACCATCCGAAGGTTTGAGAAGCTGTGCTCTTTGGCAGGAGTCTAGAGAAGCTCTGCTGGTACCTCCAGCTGCCGCCAGCTGCCCTGAAGTAGCTGGCTTGAGTTACCTGCATCTTCCCTTGGTGACACAGATGTTCAAGCTGGGTCATGGGGTATCTGGAAGCTCTCCACTTGTGAGTCTGGACACTGACCCAGGGACACATGCCTTCCCCTGCTCAGAGCTTGGCTTCTCACTCTGGGTCTCATTGTCACTGGTGGGAGGCCAGTGACACTGGAGGCTTCAAATCTTGAGCAGATTTCCTCTGAGAGCAGTCCCCTCCAGGGGCACTCCTCCCTCAGCAAGGCCAGGGCTCCTGAGCAGAAGGACGGGGGCACCTGTTTGTCTGGGGCAGGCCTGTCTTGGGCATGCTCACAATAGCTGCACCCCCAGGCCTCACAAGGGGGCACAGTGCTCTCGATTCCTACTGATGCACCCTGACCAGGCAGTGGGGCATCAGTTCTGGACCCAAGACAAAGAGGTAGCAGCCTACACTATTTGCTTGAGTTGGCTGAGGTGCAGAGAAGTGGGTGGGCAGAGGCCAGAGAGGCCAGACTTCTGCTGTCATCTCCTCTCCCCGTAGCTCTCCAGAACACAAGGATCTGCTGTCAGGAGGGAGCCATAGTGTCTCCTCGGAGGGTCTCATTGCTGGTTATCGCTTTGTGGATAATTGGCTCCAAGATGGTGCTAACTCCTCCTTTCCCAAGAACATTCTCCAGCTCAGCCTTGAGGCTCACAGCATCCTACTGCCTGTTATCACAGGATCGATGATGATGATGATGTTGAGCCCAGTGCAGACTTACAAGCACAATTGTAATATCTGTGCTGCCCACTCCGGGACCTGACCCCATTTCTGATATACCACATGGATTGTGACTGAGAACGCCGACCCAAAATGTGCTGGCACTGGCGTTTGCAGCACTCCCTGGGCGGGAGCAACCAGCACATGCCTTATTTTGTCTGCTGTCTGTTTTCCCTTTAGTCAGGATTTCTGGGACAGAGAGCTCTGATGCATGGATCTTTGTGGGTCTGTATCTGGCCCTAGAGGCTGCCAAGATGGATCAGGGGTTCCAGACAGCTGATCGAGCTGGGCAGTAGATAGCTGAACACTGGCCTGCTATGCTGTCCACCTCAGTGGCAGCTGACACTTACCCAGTGCTTAGTCTGCACTGGGTGCTGTTCCAAATGCTCTCTCCCCACATGGCTCAATTGCTGCTCGGAGTGCTCTGTGAAGTAGGTCATCTTGGATCTGTGTCCCTTGTACAGATGAGGACAGCATGGGACACCTAAGTAACTCACCTAAGTTAAGAAAGGAGTGCAGTTTAATGCCTTCTGTCAGCTACTGAAACACTTGTGGGCTGCCCTACCCCATGTTCAGGGGTCCCAGGAGAGCCCACAAGCCCCTTGGGTGGCATTCGTCCAGCTAGCAGGGGTGTGAATAGGGGGCCTATCGCTGCCATGTAACACTGAGGACCAGGCTAAAGCCCTGTGGTAGAAACCGACTCCAGGGAGCACAGGTATTAGGTAAACCTCGAGGCTTGGTGATTCCCAACCCCAGATATAATGAACCAGCTTGTAATCATCCCAGAACCTCTTTCTGACACAAGGTCTAGTTGTCTTCATGTTCCAGCCCTGGCCCTCTGTTACCCCAGGGCTAGGGGATTTCTTACTTTCTTGGGGCTTATTTCCTGATTCCCAGAAAGGCAGCCCCTTTGGGTAACCTGCTCCTCTCCCACTTGCCCTTGCCAGCCCTCCTCCCGCTGCCTTCCGGGAAGGAGAGCCCTTGGCCCTCTTGGGGACTTCTTTGGCATTTCACAACCCTGCATTCCAGCCGTGAAATTTGTGTCTGGCTTCTCCCAAGATGATCAGTTGAGAAAAGCCTCCTCTGCTTGCTTGTGCCTTTCCCCTACCGCCTGCCTGAGTGAGTTTAGGAGGCACAAAAAGCAGCCCCTTTGTGATACGGGACAGTCTGCGCCGACCAGTGTCTGTGGAGACCTGCGATAGTGGAGGGGGAGTCCCTGGCATCCTTTCCGTCAGAAGTCACCTGGCCAGATGTGGACTGTTCTGTGGGATCTGGGCCTTAGCCCCGAGCCTCTCCACCACAGCGATGTGGAGGCTGCGTGGGGAGCAGGACATGATCCTGTGAACTGCTGCACAGTAACTGGAAACCTGCTTCTGTGTCACAGGCCTCCTCCTCCTCCCTGGCCGGCTGGTGACTCATGGCCTGAGTTGGGGACTGAGCCGGAGCCCTCTGGGTCATACGCCCTCCCAGGAAGGGTCACGGATCTTGGGTGTGGGTACATGTGTCAGAGAGGAGGCTCTTGACTGCGGGAGGTGCTTTTTGCAGTTGAGAGGCCTCTGAAAAGCAAGCTTGTGGAGTTGGGTTTCTTGATCTCCTGGAGTGGCACCAGCAGCTCCTGAGGTTTTGCTGTTGCTGTTGCTTTGCTTTCCTGGAGAATTAAAATTTTGTAGCGTGAATTATCCTGCTGTGACATTCTCATCTGGAACACCTCCTACACACACACACACGTGCACACACACACACATGCCCACATGCACATTCCAGCTACTTTTATGAATGTGTCTGCTCCCATCTGCAAGGCCTTTTGGGAAGAAAGAGGGACTTTGCTCCTTCTAATTTCCAACCAGGAAGTCAGCCTTTAGAGAAAAATGGTGCTTTGTTTTGTTTTCTTTTGTTCAGCTTATGAGGCTTATGAAGATTAATTAGGAAACAAAAATATCTCCATCCAACCTACCAGTGAACTTGGGTTCAGGATAATTGATGAGTTTCCATCTGGGGAGAGGCTGGGTTGGGCTGGTACAGCTCACACACAGGGAAGTGCTGGGTAACCAGGTCTGAATGGTCTCCTGGATCAGCCCAGTGGCCAGCCTAGAGCCTGTCCCATCACATTTGCTGCCACTCCCACATTGGTGAAGGGCAGTTGTTTGCACTGGAAAGAGAACTCAGAAAGGCACAGCCAGTGTGTAGGGCCCGCCAGGCCCTGTAAGGCTCTTTTTGTTCCCTGCAGGACAACTGCCTTCCTTTCTACCGACTTCACCGTGGTGCGTGCTGCCCTGTGAAGTGCCTGTATGTGCCTTTTTCAATGGTGCATCTTGGAAAGGGTATCTAGGCGCCCCACAGCCAGTCTGTTTTGGGCCAATTTCTGTTTTAACTTCATTCGACTCTACATACTCTAAGAGGTAGCACCATGGCCATGCTGACCCCCTGACCTTGGGACTCCCGAGTGGCACTTTGAATTTTCAGTTCAAATGCAGCATCCCCTTCCTCAAGTTGCACAAGCAGAAGTATTTTTATCACCTATCCTTGATCCTCCATGTCATCCAGCCATTCAGCAGTGAGTCACTCCAGCAGCGAAGGGAGAAGCTCCGGGATTAGCGCTAGAGAAAGGAAGTGACTCAGTGTCACAGGAAAAGGACAGAGCAGGCTCCCTCAGGGTACCAGGGCTCCTCCTTTTCCCCGAGGTCCGTTGAACTCAGAGGAGGTCCTGGTTGAGTTGGGAGTCTCCTAACCCTCATTCAGGCTTTGTTCCCCCATCTTCTTCAGCCATGCACTCTGTTGCCATCCCATCCTGGCAGTTCCCTAGTGGGAATGTGGCATTTAGTCCTTTGGTTGTTAATGTTCACTACATCATCCCTCTCAAAGACTGTCAGACTCACCGGGTGACACTGCCTTGCTCTTAACAGTAACTTTGGAAGTAAACACCTCCCCTCCCC